AGGGTCACAAACTCACATCAATCCAACTAAATATATATTCAAAAATAGATTGCTGGTAATTTTTTCAAAAATTCATTGCTGGTATTTTTATCATAAAAACCTATTTTTATACTTTCATAGTGTTTTTATTCCAGTCTGGGGATTAACTATTTGCCCATAGCTGGACCCTAACAGGGACTACCACTCCAGATCAGAGTGGACCTAGGAATAACAGCAATTAAGGTGGACGCAAAGCCATAGAATTCTTTCTTTAAAAAAATATCTTTTAAATGCTTTATGCAACAGAAGACTACTGACAGATTTATTTCCCCAAGTAACAATACCAACTCGTGAAAATTATATACAGATACTGAGAATAATACACCATGATACACGACAGAAGGAAGGACTAAAATAACAAAGTAATTAATTCCAAAAATGAGCTGTGTCTGAAAACATTTTGTATACCGCGCTAGAATATACAAATAAGTCATACAAAATGTTAAATCACAATTTGTTCTACAGAAAATCTTTTAAATAAAATGTTCACCCAATATGGGGCACAGGGGCCACTTAAAATACAAGATTACTGAACGAGGTTGTTGTATGGCTGTAAAAATGAGTAAGTGCGGATTATGAAGATATGTAGAATAGATAATGATTGACCTGCGACTTAAGTGTTTAAGATTGTAGTGATTAGGGAAACATCCTCTCGTGAGTGTTCTACAAAGTAACAGTTCTTGGGAAGATCTGTCTGAGTGGAACTTCCTTCTTACCAACAGAATACGAAGAGGATAAAGATGATTTGACCCTGTATACGTGGCATGGCAGGGTCTTAGCTATAAAGGTCTGAACTGGTGGAATTAAGGAATATAACTTGTCTGAACCTTTACAATGCAAATATCGATTGAGTGGCGAGAAAGGGGCTCATCCTTCACAAGGCCGCGTAAACACTTTTGAATCCAAGACTACAAAGTGGTGATTGGACAGGTCCAGCCCAGATATGAGAGCAATACTCCATTTTGGTCTAATCTTTTTCTTGTAAAAATAGTGCATGGCAGGGGGAGTCAGGTACTTTCTGGAGTGTTACAAAGAACCAACTATTTTTGCAGTATGTACTTGAAATTGAGTGTAAAATCGAGAATCATGAATGGAAAAAATTGAGGATCTGCTTAGTGAAATTATAGTATATTGAAGAGCAAGCAGTATGTGAAAGAACAACGTATTATTTGTAATGTCTTTAGGAGGGACACGGACAACCTTGGTGATATGATTTATGTTCCTTATTTAGGACGCAATAGTAGTCGTTGATTTGCCGAACTGCCGCTGGCTACTTCATCTATCTCCATCGAAATCAAAACAACCACTTTTCGCATCCGCTTCGGTTGCTAGCTAAGCACCAAATGACTATCGTTACACACGGGTTGTCACGTGACCATCAAGGTTAGTAAATTTTGTAGAAATGGTAGCTATTCTGAATACACTTCATCATTATTCGATTTTCAGCTGATATTAATTTTATTCAAGAAGACACCATTATCTTAGACATGTCTGGCGCCCATCTCATATGTCACATTCTTAGGCAAAACAGTTGAGGTAAATGAAATCAGTTGTTATCAAATTGCTCTATGCTTACATACAAGTGATTTCAGCCAATTCAAGAAAAAAGATAATTTTTTGATCTTTCAAAATATTTTGTAGCGTTCATATTAGGACTATAAATACGAGTACAATATACGTGTACATGTGTGGAGGTGGTGTGTTTTTCTTGTTTGTTTTTTTGTTGTTGTTGTTGTTTTTTGTTTCTTTGTTTTTTGTTTTTACTAAACTTTATAACTACTTAGGATATCAGAATGATGAAATGTAAATATTAAATGAAGAATTTAACAAAATACACTAAAAGTTCAAAAACAGTAACACTTGGTGCACATATTTCAAGGTTCACAGTTTTTACGTTTATTTAAATATAGCAATACTCAGTTCATTTAAGATTTCCTTTATATTACCGATCTGTCCAAGATTATAAACTTGGTGAATCAATCAGGGCCGATGCGGACTACCCCCGACCGGGAACGGGGGATAAAGCCTGATTAAGATCCCCAGGCAGTGCTTTGTCACCTTCGCTAACTTATCGACATTCGCTTTTTTTTTTATATACTTACATTTATATAGATTAAAAATTAAACGGATTAGAACAGACTATCAAAGAATGAATAATTTTTGCAGATTTTGATGTCATTCTGGGGTGGGTTTTTTTTTCGTCCAAATTCGTAAATTTGTTTTGCTCTCGAAAAAACACCATATAAAATTCACTATTTTCTATCCATAATGTTGAATGTATTAAATTATTCAATTTTTAACAAGAAAAATCTCAAGTTGATGTAAGAAATTGTTGATTTATTTAAGATGGAATGATCAATTATGACATGTCTTTAATTTGTATTTAGACACATTGTATTTATTAAAAGAAAAAACTTGTAGTTCCAATGAATGAATTATTTTTATGTAAATATTTCGACTAGCAGTTGCCAGTCTTGGTTACTCCTTAATTTGAGTAAAAACAGTGTAAAGCTGCTCGAAACGCTTAAGAATTCAAATCAAGGAAAACAAACCTAGTTGATGACGTTTACAATGCAATAGCAAGGATTTTTGTTTTTTACTCTATAAATTGCCTTTTTTTTTTCTTTTGGGTCATATCATATTTTTCTTTGGAGTAGAGCTGTACAGACAGGATAGAGTTGTGCTGCATCTATCCTATTGCAGGTATTTTTGTAGTTGCTATTACCATTTGTTCAGCTTTGATTGAAATGCATTGGTTCGTCAATTTTATTTCCGGGTGGTCGAAGTCAATTCTGTGACCTTCTGTAATGGCATATAATGCAATCGCTGAAGTTTTTTCCAATTTTTCTTTTTCGTTATCGTTTGAAATTACCTTAACACAAAGTCTTTGATATTCATCCATCATCTTTCAATGATCTTGAAGTCATGCCCACATAATTTGTTGAGTAGTTTGTAGCGACTTTTTCCACAATTTATTCGTCTGTGATTGGCTAGTAAATCAATACTGCTTTTTTATAAGACAATTTAGCAATCGCAGCCATCACTTTGAATTTTTTGGTCGTGAACTTGCTCACATGTTTCTTTGATACAAAATCAGTAATTGGTCAAATTTTAACCAATCAAACATTTTAATACTAAATCAATTTTTTCCGCGTTTTCGCTCGGAGCCTACCGGTACCTTTAAAAGAAGCAATTTTGCCACAAGCCGCCAGTAGAGTCCAGCTATTTGGCCTGTCTACACAAATCTACGACTTTACTCACATTTCAAACGCACACACAGTTTTTTTTTTTTTTTTGTAACACATTATACATATCTCTCTCTGTGACTCAGCCAAGTTCATGGACTAGAACTATTAATTTCTGATGTGTTTTATTTTATACGGTATGTTCACCGTTAACACTTTTTCAGATCTAGAGTCTATATTTTTCTTAATGGCATTGTTGTTTATTCTTTACGACTGTTTATAGAAAACCTACATCTAAAGATCGATACTTGGATTTCAATTCGTGTCACAGCCTTAGTACAAAAAATAGAATTACAATAGGTTTCTTCAAAAGAGCAGAAAAAATTTGTTCGGATCCATTGGATAAAAAACTTGAGCAGCAGAATATAATAGATACCCTTAAAAAGAATGGATTTCCTAAACGATTACTGTACCAACAACTAGACAGAATAAACAACAATGTCATTGAGAAAAATAAAGATTCTAGATGTGATCGTAAGCTCATCAGCTAGAGAAAAGTCCTATGACGCGAGTTACAAATTGGAGATATCAACATCAAGCAGGTGCAGAAGTTTAAATACCTGAAAAGTGTTTTAACAGCGGATAGAAAAGGCGGCGCCGAAATCCGAACACGTATTGAAATAACGAAAGGAGTATTCCAAAATCTAAGTAAGGTGCCGGGAAATGGGAAAAATCGTTAGAAATAAAGAAAAGATTGCTGGAATGCTATGAGTTATCCATCCTCTTACGACAGTGAAAGCTAGACAATCTCCCCGCGAATGAAGAGAAAACTAGAGGTAGCAGAAATCTGATTCTACAGAAGGAGGATACTGAAAATTCTATAGACGGGGTGAGTAAGTAACAAAGAAGTCTTAAAGAAAATCATAAAAGAAACAACACTTATACTCAGAATCGGGAAAAGAGAGCTGAAATTCTTTGGAAACATTAGAAAAGAGCGGTTGGAAAATTTACCCCTCACGGGGCATATTGAAGGCAAGGGAGATAAGAGAAGGCAGCAAGCCACTTAAGAAGAAACAAATTATTCTGAACAAATAGTATTTTTAAGGAAATAATGAGAGAATAGAATTTCAAATAAAAAGTGGATAACAATATATTCGAGGCGACAAATTATTGCACATTAGAAAGCGATTTTGCTAATTATTTTTTAATTATACTTTGCTTTGATTTGTTTTATGCTTTTTGCATAGTTTTCTTATTTTTCTTTCAACACACACAAACCATAGAACTAGAGACAAATTTGTGGTACACGTATGATTTCCAAAGAGTGAGACAGAGAGAGAGAGAGAGAGAGAGAGAGAGAGAGAATGAAATTACGACCGAAAAAAATTTTTGCAGTCAATTAATATTTGATTAACAAACAAGAATATTTTTGCTTATGCTAATTTTAACGATTTGCTATGCATTCAATTAAATATTGAAAATTTAATATTTTTCGTAGATATTTTTCAGCCTTTATGTTTTGAAATTATGTATTAGCTACATGAACTTTATATATATATATATATATATATATATATATATATATAAAGGGATAAATTTCTATAAAACTATAAGATATCGGCAATTAAGTTGTTATGAAAAAACAATTCATGTCAATTATATGTATGTATTGCAGATTTTTCAAAAATTTTGAGCTGCATTTTTAATATATTACTAAAAAGATTTTCAAAACATGAAACCGCCTTGCTTTTTTAGATTTCAGTAACAGACTTAAAAATGCACCCTGCGATACACAGACATCTTTATTTTTCTTACTCTTTTGTCCCTTTCTCCCCAGTCTCTCTCTCTCCCAGCCCCATCTCTCACTCTTTTCTTTGCATATTCGTTTCTTTCTTAATTTTTATCTTTCAACTCTGCTCCTAAATTCTACACGGCATTAGAGGGATTAATAAAATATTGCTAGTGGCCTATGCTTCACGAGGTTACTAGATTCAACGAGTACAAGCTTTTAATGTGAGCATTAGCATACCTCAAATTGGTAATAAGGATGGCCTGTTAACGCTGTAACTAAAACCGAGATCTTCTGAGAAGTCGTTCCAGGCATTCTGTTATTGCTTGCTTTCATCAATTACGTAGTTCTGTGTTATTTGAGAAAATAAACATTCCTCCTCACTTCAAACGTGCAAGCAAAAAAAAAAAAATAAAAAAAAAAACCAGTTCACATCTCCTGGGAAACCAATGCTTTTTTATCGAACGACTGTTGAAAACGAATTGTTGAATCAAATTAGTTTTTAATGATTTATTCATTATTCGGGCTAAAATAGATCAAATCTAATCAATATTTAATCAGCAAAATTCTTCGTCTATATTTCTGAGATGACGTATTATGTACATTATTTACATTATTCGGACTATTGTCCTCATCTTTGTCGCCATATTTATCACAACGTTTCGGCCGTTGTACACTCCGGCCTTCTTCAGGTAGTTGGAATGTCGAACTGAACCCTTTATTTCGCTCATCCATCAAACATGGCACGTGGAACTAGAACAGTCTACCCCGGTGAGCGAAATAAAGGGTCCAGTAGTCCGTATAATGTGCAAAATTCTTTATTCAGCAGAATATAGGGAAAAGTATAAACAGAAAAATTAGCAACGATATTATAAAATCCAAAGATTTTCCCTTTTCATAAGGAACATTTAAATGGAAATCGCTTTTTTTTTTTAGAGAAATATTAAAACCCAACTCATCTCTCTTTTTCTGTCTTCCCTGTCTTTCACTTTCTCCCTCCACCCTCTGATTTTTTTTGTTCTCCCAGCGTTTCAATCATTTGATAATCTTTCTTTCAGAATTATCGAAGGTGCCTGTTCGTTTAATATTTCTTTTCTTCAAAAAGTAATACAGAACCCGTCGCCAAGAGAGACCTACTCCCAAACAGAAAATCATTTTCGACCACTGTAAAAATGTAAACTAATTTTAGTGTACAAATACTTACTTACGGTTTCTTTTAAGGCTCCCACTCAAACCATTCCGGCGACGTGCGTGGGCATTATCACTTAGTCAAGTTCAGTATATAGTTTGTGTTCTTATAGTAAGCAACCATTATCGACATTTTTTAAAGTACCAGCTTATAATAAACTAATAAGTAAACATTTTGTAAGAAAGATCCGATGAACCACATTTTTTTCCTTTTTGAAAAACAAGCAAAAAACATCCAATGTTACACCATAGCAAGTAAGCTGTCCGGGTTAAATTATCTGTTCAAGAGTTGAGAAATTCAGTAATACTTCATTGGAATGCTTCCATAAATGAGTTATTTTACATTCCCATTTAAAGATTTTTTTTTTTTTTACAATTGTTATGCCGGTTGAGAATCGGGATATCAAAGTATTATTAACTGAGTACAGTATTTTGATATGGAGCCCACGAGAAATGCGAAAAAAAAATCAAAGGGAAGCTGAATGTGACACGTAGCTGAAAGCGGTTGCAGCAGAGAAAACAAGAATGGCTCCTTGTTTTGAAACGATAAGTAAATAAGAATTCTGAGTGATTGAATTAGGGTTGAGGGAGAAAAGAGAACTACTTGGAATGTCGAGGGACAACCAGGCTAGAAACAAAGTTATATTAGAGAACTGAAAGTCAGTCACGTTACGAGACGGTGACGCATAACAAAGTGCAGACAGGGATGCATGCGACTAGCTGTTTCCTAAAATCTCTTGACTAGAACAAGCAGTCTTCTTGTGGAGTCAAAAGATCTAATTGAATACCCTTGAGGGTAAGGGTTCCGCAGAGAACACTCCAAGGAGGACTAAAAGTTAACCTAACGAAAGAAATTTATAAAATAATTTCAGAAATTCAAATGCAACAGGAAAGCATTAACTAACAGAGAAAAGTCAAGATATTGTTTCTTATTCTCCGGCTTGAAATACGGTTTCTTTAGTAAGTGTTGTCTCGTTATTTTTTATCCCGGGAATGCATATCGTTATTCCGATGCGTGTAGCATTCATCTTGCGTGAGTGATTTTTTGTGTCTCATTAAAAAAAAAAAAAAAAAAAAGGGCTTTTGTACGTCTCCGTTTCAACACTACTTTTTGCGATAATTATATATATATATATATATATATCTGTTTTCGCTCTTCTAAACTCAAGGAAAATTACATCGTTCTCCGACTGACAATGTTAATGACGTGGAGGCGGCGGTAAAACAGCGTTAAAAATAAGTGTACAACGTTTCTATAACGGATATTTACTAAAACCAGCGTATTTGCATTTGGCATCTGATTATTAAACATTAATTAAAAAAATGTATCTCTAAGTAAAAAAAGATAACTTTGAAAAACTCGAACACGTGTAAATCCACTAAAGACAACGTAGTATTTAGTTTTAAAATGTTGGCATCAAATAAAATTAGAATGATAAATTCTATGGTCTGTTGCGGATCCCCCTGGAGGTGGAGAGGGTGTATAATATATGACATGGCCTGTGCGCCCAAATAAAGAGGAGTCACAGGAGGCCCGCAAACATTTAAGAAATAAATGACGTGAATCTAAGAGGAAAACAAAAACAACAAACTTAAATTAATACAAAATTTATTTACATAGTATATACAAAACTAGTGTTTCGGTTATAAGAACCGAAAAGGAACATGAACAAACAATGAATCAAGTAAATGAAGGATACTGACCGGTACAGAAAAGAAAAGATAATATAACTGATAAAAAGTGTTAAAAGTAGAGTAGTTTAACTGTCCGGTGTTGGCATTGCATAGTTGTTGATTAAGTCAAACGATGTACTTTCCGTAGTATTTAACCCAAGTGTACGAAATAAGTTGTTTGAAGTCTGTACTTCCTAAACCAGGTGAGTTAGGTTGACAGTAAAATCCGTTGATGCGTTGAATGAACCAAGTGAGGTAGGTTGAAAAGAAACGTCGGAAGTTGATAAGTACCGGTAGTGTGTTCGCAAGGAGCAGTTGAAGATAGTCCGAAATAGCTGTACTGTCCAATGCAGGTGTTGTAATGAACCAGGTGAGTTAGGCTGAAATAGAAACGCCAAAAATTGTCTCTCCATGTAGAGCTGCGATAGCCATTAAATGCGCAAGTCAAGAAAAGCTGTAAGGATAAGGGATATTGCAGCCATTGTATGAGAAGGTCCAGAAATGTCAGCAGTAGGAGGGGCTGTCGGCCATTGCAAGAGCAGGAACGAAAGCTGATGTGGTCGATGTTATGCGCAGGGCAGAAACGGCGGAAGTAAAGTAAGAACGCCGGAAGTAATAAAGCCTAAAGGTAGCCTAAAGTAATAAAGGCCAGGAATGCTGGGAGTAAGAGTAGACAGAAAAGTTTTCAACTAGCGTCTAGCTAGCAGACAAAAATAAGTGGGCTGTAACTTAATACTGAACCCGCTCAAGCATCCTGATTACATGGACCAGGGGCTTGCGCTCCTCTTCTTCCCCCTCTCTCGATTTATTGCGTACATAATACAGCAATTGTGGCGCAAGGGTGAATGTGTTGAGGCTGGTTGACACTATCTTATGCCTAGCTAATCCGATTCAACACCCATTCATTCGTTACAATTTACACAATCACCACAAAAATTCGTCCATCATCATTCACTCCTACATATACCACAATACCGCATACACACAGGGAAACCTACAAAACTCCCCATGACATAAAAATTTTGAGTATAAAATACTCCAGGCCAAGTCATGGCGCAATTGAGAACCAGAACTGGAGGCCTATTGAAAAATGTAGGATTTTCAGAAATTTTAGAAGAAAATGAAGTCAACCACTTTAGGAAATACTTAGAATAACATTTTTATTCACACCTGAGGATAATAGGATATGTTGAAAGATAAATAAATGAAAATATGTATTTTTGCTATGAACACTGATAATTATTAAACAACACAAAGGGGTAATTATGATTTCTGGTAAAAGATATATTGAATCAGAAATTTATATTATTTACAGGTGTCACTGAATCCTTTATTCAATCTATTCCCTGTGAGTGAATAAAGACTTTGGTTTAAATTTACATTATAGTTACTGGGTTTGACAAACAGAACCCGAGAAGGCTGGAAGACATCAGCCGAAGTGTGTATATAACAATCAATCATCGCAGAAATATAGACAAATAAAACAAAATCATTCTAGGAAAGTTTCAAAACTTTTAGAACTGGTTCTTTTTCTGATTTAGGTGTGCCATGTTTGCAAAAATTTTTAAAAACTATGTTTGCAAAAATAGAAGCATGATTTTTCTCCATGTTGAAAAAATGAAACTCAGAAATAAGCATAAAAATGTTACTTAATGATTTATAGCATACTTTTCTGTCTACTCTTACTCCCGGCATTCCTGGCCTTTATATGTATATGTATGGAAAAGGATGAAATAAAAAAAATAACCATTGACAAGTATGGTCAGAAGGAACTTTTAGTTTTCCACGGTCACTTAAATTGGTATATTTTCTATACTTTTCATAATAAAAATGGGTTTCACATTCACTGTGTTGATTATCATTTCTTGTAATATATCCAGCTATGTACACAAGAGCCATTTTTATTTCATTGGAAAGAGATGGTTCTAAATTTTCCAGATTGTCAAATATTTCTGAACCTTCCTCACAAAGTTTATAATCACAAGATGTACATTGGTGACCTGGATTAACATCAAATTCATTTAATATTTACATTTTGATTTAAAAGTAAAGATGTCTGCTTAAAATGCAGCTTTTCAATACATTTATAAAATAGGTGCCACATGATCCTTGGCGAAGTTTACCAAATTCTTTTTCTTATGGATCAGTTGAAAATTTCCTAAGTAGTACATATTTATAACTTGTAGCTAAAAGGTGTCGACATAGACTAACAATTCCATTGCAAGTATGATGTATGGCAGTAGCAGTGTTTTGGGATAATTGTTTTTTACAATTACCTTGACTGCCAGCCATATTAAGTGACATTTTACTAAATTCAATGATAAAATCAAGTCGGGTGTCATTTGGAGATCTGATTTCAGCTTGTAGAGGATCATTATGTAATTTATCAATTTGAAGGGATTTAAAATTTTCCACCATGTCAAAACCTTGTTTATGGAGAGGGCAGTATCATTCTTACCTGCACTTATTTCAGACTGAGTGAGAAGTGCATTATGTTTTTTTCCGAAAACACTCTGAGGCAAGTAGAAACCCGTTGTCTTTCTATTGGCTTTGGAGCAATGGAAATTTCATTTAAATCTGAAAGTTTGACTAGTCTTTCAGATTCAAAACGATATAACCGTTTAAGATGTGTCCATTTTGCAACTCGACGTACTCCATCATCATCAAAGATTAGTTCTCCTGTTTTTTCTGTTAGCCACAAATTGCGAATATTTTTCAACAGATGAACATAATCAAAAAGCAAATGTTTATTATCTTCAGTTAACCAAGGTTTTTCAGGAAGTGTAGGATATAATTTTAAAAAAAGCTTGATTTACGCGGTTGCCATCACATATAATAGCCTTTACATCAGCTGGTACAGATGTGATGGCTTGGACTGTTAACTCAATTTGTTCAAATAAAAAGGCGGATGTTAATTTTGAAATTGGAATCAATTTTGTAAGAAAATTTGGACCCCCAATGAGATATATCAACATTATACCAAGTACTGTTTGAAAAAGTACAGATGGATTGTCAACTGATACCAAATAGTTGTTTGCCGTGATATAGCAACATCTTTTTTATATATATATCATCATGGAGAATTATGCACCCTTTTTGACTGGTATTAAGAGTATTAAATATAGATAAAAAAAGATTTTTGATTAAGTTTTGAAACTTTTGACGTCATCCTTCCTAATGTTGCTAATGAGGGTAATTGAAAATTATATCTTAATTCATTAGACAATGTCCGTGATCTTGCATAGTACCCAAAAGCATGCACAACTATATATCTGAGCTGTATTTTATTCCAACCATTTTGGGAGCCATTGCTAAAAATTGTTGACTCAGAATATTTTTCTTGTGATCAAAAGCCATAGAATTTAAATATCAGATGATTTCTTCCAGTTTTGACCAAGTATCAACTGTATTTATACGATTTTTGGACAGGTTGCTAATATAACACTTAACTCCATAATGAAATGTTTCAAAGCGCAAATTGTTATAAATTTTCAACATAAAGAGAGGAATACCATCAATAGATTTTGATGGTTGAACAGTTAAAATATTTTCACCCAAAAATGCTACAACTGGACATATAAAGTCTTTTTTGTTGTTAAGCAGACTTTCTTTCAAATTTGTATAATTAATTTTATCTAATTCTAAAAAAGCATTAAGTTCATCAGCAATTTGATTTCTAACAGTACTGGAGGTTTTTTTATATTCCTTTGAACAGCTGAGGGTGTTGGTATTTGACTACTTGGCACACCTGGCCATACAGATGGTGGATTTTTTGGACGTATTTTTCCATTAACTTTTATGGTATCAAAATTTGAAGGCCAATGTTGTTGACAAATAACAGTATTGTTAGTAACATTTAGATTAGCATTTGGAACAGATTTTATCCATTGCTCTCTCTCGTCTTTGTTTTTTGGAAAACAATAAACTGGTATTTTATTAATCTCACCACACATAGTTTTGTCTTGCTGGCTTCTGTAATTTGTTTTGCAAGCAAACACACAGCACTTCCGGGGCATGGCTAGGAATTAAGTAGTATCTGAAATGGTAGATTAAATATCTTTAACAAATATTTCTCTTACTACTTCAATTTAGGAGTAAATTTTCAAGCTAAATTAATTATACTCTTAATTACAGATTTTATCCACGCACCCTGCCCAAATACACACAATTAATTAAAGCCAAAAATTTTAGAGAGTTGCCTTCAGCTTGAGAATCCACTTCTTAATTTTTTTAAAAAATGGTGGGGGTATGGTTTTGTTTGAAGAATACTGTCAGGTTTGCAGTTTTGCACAATATTATTAATCGTTTAATTATCAACAATAAAACTGTTTTTAATCAAACAAAAATAGTAATAGTTGCATAGTGCCATTAAACTAGAAATTAAAAAATCAATTTGAAGTTGGTATTTAAATTTCTGGTACTTGTTAAATGTTAAGCTATTGCTTGGCTCTCTCCCAAAGGGTCAGCCATTAAAAAAAAAAAAAAAAAAAAAAAACTCCCCCTCCAGACATAAAAAAGGAGATCGTTCTTGTTCCTAAAACTCCTCGCAAGGAGATTGGGAAGTGGGGAGAGGGCTTTTCTCAATCTTTTGAGACTATGCCTCCGATCAATCACTTCTGGCCATGTGCAAAAAAGGGCTTCCTTCTCAACTGGGTAAATAAAATAAATGACTGAATTAGTAGCAGTGAGCAGCATGGTTTATGGTAAAAAAAAAAAAACTTCGCGTAAAATCGCCCGGTCAAGTTTTATAACTTTAAAACTTTAATTTAAAAACATTCATAAGTAGCCTTTCCTTTAGTTTGGTTATTTTAATACTCTTTAAACTATAATAGGAATATATATAACTTTTTTACCTTTTAAAGCAAAACAATTAAAACTAAAAGTAAAGTAAAAATAATGCATTTTGTCCTTATCAACAATATCAGAAAAATATTAAAATAAATACGATAAATAAAATGGTATTATTATTCTCTTGTAAAATAAATTTTGTAGTCAAAAGGCGTAAAAAAGGAGACCTTTCTAAAAAAAAAATTATTGACATTAACTGCATGTAATAAATTTATTATTGTTATTTTTTTCTTTAATTATAATAAGTAAAAAAATACTTACAGTTCACCAATTGGTAATTAATGTAGTAAAAATAATCATTTATTCTTTAACTTTGGAAACAAAAGCGCGAAGAAATTCGTTTGTGTTGTTGTTTGTTTTTTTTTTACATTTAATGGAAATGTTGGATAAAGTTTTAATAGAGAAATGTTAATGAACCTTTCTCTATTAAAATTTTATTCAAATTTATTATTCAAACTTAAACTTTTGAGAAAAATGTTGACTTATGCTAATTTTTTATCATGGTTAAAAACTTGAGAAAACTGAACTTAATTTCGTTGACTTTATGTTTTTCACTCATACTAACAATGTTTTTTTTAGCGATATCAAAAATAAATATCAAATTAAGTAATGACATTGAATTTATGAAAAAAAAACATTTTTAATTCATTTTATAATAAAAATAGTTTTCTTTGCGTCTTTGAAGAAACTAAATTAAATTCTGTTCAAATTTGTTTTGCTTCTTAAAATAACACAAATTACTCAAAAAGAATTGCATTTTATCAATAAATAATTCTTTAAACTTTAATCAAAAAATGTTGAACAAACTTTAAGAGCGAAAATGCCAAAAATGAATTAAACTTTAATTTAAAATGTTAAGGCTTTAAATCTTTTTGTGCGAGTAAATTTAAGCACCAAAGTTTACTTTTTACAATTTAAATATAAATAATGTATAGACTCAAACTAAAGTAATCAAATATACTTCAAATAAATAAGTTAAATGATATTCCAACCAAAGGTAAAATTAAAAGATTCCTTTGAATTTCTCAAGCCAACAACATAAGAGTACACAGTACGCAGCAGTTCGCTCAAACTGAAACTAAAACGATCTAATTTTCAGCCGGCCTCCAGTCTATCGAGGTCGCCGCGTTACGCAGAGGCCTGTTAATATAGAACGCCATGCTAGGTACACAAGCAGGGATTATTCTAAGCAAGGGAGGGCTGCACGGGAAACTGCCCCGATGTGACTTAGGGAGACTTAAAAAAGAAAATCAAGGCTAGCCCCGTTCACGGGAACCAGGCTCACTGCAGTCACCCACTATTCGCTAAAATATGTCGATACCAAACTTTTTCTATCCGTTCTGATCTTCATCCTGAGCTGATGCTCAAAGAATCTGACTTATCTAGCTAACCATTACACCGCCAACTGTTTCTGGATATTTATTACAGAATCTGTGTTTTTGGGTTAATATAATTTTTCAGAATGTGTGCTTGGTAATTTCTAGCATTGGTCATGTGTAGCAAGTATAAAACCTCCGATTTCAGCTTCTAACCCTGCACTACGTAACAACTGATGTGTACGGGTTTTGTCTACATTAGCTTATTTGGCACGGGCAGAGTATTGATCATAAAGAGACTTACCTTGTCATCGTTTCTGCATTTGGTACATTGCATTTATTTTTTCTTTCTTTTTTAGGTTATTTGCCACTGCAGTAAGTGTATTATTGTTTATTTGCATGTCTTCACCAGCTTGACATTCCCTTTTGAATTTGACTTCCTTTATTACTGAATAAAGTTTCTTATTTCCTTGACACGGATCATCATCCAGTTTTCTGTAGTTTCCATGTATCTTTGAAAACCGATTTTTGTGGTTTTGTAAGACAGTTCTAGTTGAACTAATCCTCTCTCTTCTTCGGACCTGGGCACATACAGACGATCAACATCAGCTGTCTCGTCTTTATTTCCACTTAGTCTACATTTACTGTTTTTTGCGTTTTATATATCATATTCTTTATCTAGTTTTTTTTCTTATGACATTGCTTAGGGTCGTTGTTAAGATATATTGTTTTTATCTTTAGGTTTCCTCTGTGCATTCATGTCCTTATCGATTTATTATTCTGTATTTGTGTTCAAGTTGTTGTGTCTGCTGTTAAGTTTGGCTGTTGGGAGTAGCCTTTCCCAGGTCTTTCATGTAGTCTTCGAGTCGACACTATCTCCGAAGCTGACAAAACATATAGCATGTCGACATTGTCTCTGCTTTATGCCATTAATATTCTTATTTGGGGCTCCAGGTTCCTGGACTGTTTTCGTAAGGCAACAACGGAAATTACTCTGGTATTTATTCCTTTAAGTTACTGCTATATTTTTCTTGTTCATTCGAAGTATTCTTTACTGACCTTTTCTTCATTTCTTTCTTCTTCCAAAATACACACCTGCTTGTACGTTTTCTTCTCTTTGATCTTCCTGATGATTTTCTGGTTAGAGAGAACAATTCTTTTTTTCGTTTCTCTTTTTACATTGTTCATTACCAGCATTCCACTCCTATGTTCTGACTGAAGATTCTGATATTTTCTTTGAGAGTTTCTAGTCTCTTTTTGTTCTTGATAAAAATGTTTAAGGTCATTCATATACACAAGATGGTTCATTTTTTCCCACAAATTTGTGAATCTGGTGGCATTTCTTTTATTGTCGAAGGGTAGCATCGCTATGACAAATAATTTGTACCTTTGCTGGGTAATGTCTTCCTGTCGTTAGTATCAGCTTCCAACTTTCCATTGTTTTTGTTTTGTTTTTTTGTTTTTTGTTGTTTTTTTGCTATGAAACCCACAACTTCACTGACTGGAGTTTCATAACACATCGCATAATCCTTGAACTGATTTCCTATAGTGCGTTTATTTTGAAATGTATATTTATTTGTATGTTTGCGTGCATATGTCCTCAAGATATACGACTGATAGACACACACACACGCACAAATACACAAAACACACACACACACACACACACACACACACACACATATATATATATATATATATATATATATATATATATATATATATATATATATATAATCCGTTGGTATAATCCAAGCGAGTCCTATTAACACAATATAGAATTTAAAATATTAAATATTAAATGTTAAAACTAACTCACAAAAAGAGCGCTCAATGTTTATTTTCATTAAACAGCAAAAATTTTTTTCTTACAATTGGAATTAAGATACCATTAGATAATGACCCTCATTAACTAATGGTATCTTAATTCCAATTGTATATATATATATATATATATATATATATATATATATATATATATATATATATATATATATATATATATGTGGTTTCTGTATGAACACTATTACTTCTATGGTGACATGCTGAAGAAATCATGGCTACACTAAGTCACTTTTATTAGTAGAAATAATATTGCTCACAAACATAAATACACTCATAACGCATTCATGGACACCTATGAATACACACAATAAGTTTTACCTAGAAGCCAGCCATACAAACAATAATCAGAAATATCTTTTTATACAAACACGTGTTGTGAGGACACCTATTCAGGCATACTACAAATCTTGTATTCAATACATCTGCAATAACACATGTACTGACACATACATGAACATATAGATGAAGACACACGCACAAACATCCCTACCAGTTTGAATACTAAGACAAAAGATAGGCAGTGACAAGGGTGGTATTTAGACACACGAGAAATAAGACGATAAATCCCTCAAGCCAAGCTTTGTGATTTTGCTTTAATCCTACATAAGAAAAAGACATTAAACAAAAACAAAAAAAAATCGCTCTAGGTAAGAGCTTAGACGGAAAAATCCGATTTATAAGCTTCTCAAAGCTAACCCTCAAACAGATCCCTTTCAAACGGTTGAAATATGCCGGCCAGTCGATCTGATGACGTCCGAGTGAATTGAATCACTGGCGTCGTTATTTTTATCATCTGCAAAATCATTCTACTCAGAGGAAGTGTTTACCCCAGTTTCTATTTCAACAAAGGATAACGTTTGGAAAACTGATTATTTATCTTAACGAAGGTTGTTTGCCTTTTTCCACTGATTAATGATCCAACTCCACACATACCGAATCTGGATTACACTTGTTTGTATTTTGAACTTCCGCAAGTCTTGAGAAATGATATAAAAACATTCGAGTTGAGTGTATTCATTCTCCGTTCGTGTTGTTGTATATTATCGACACCTCATGAGTTAGTTTTCAAATTCTACAATTGTTCTTGTCTAATTCTACAGAAGTCACTATCATCAGTATTTTATCAAATCCAAACACTCGACCAATTTGTTTTACCTTCTCCAGGATGCAATAACAGAAATTATATAAAATACGTTTTAATACCAATATCAAGTAACAAATTTTTAGGGTTTGAATGTAAATTTTTAGAGAATTAAATTTTCTAATGAATTACTTTTCATTGATTAAGCTTTCAAGAATTGATATGATTTTCTGTGAATGAGTTTTGCTCTGAAATAATTTTATTAGTACAAGTCTAATTTATGTAGAGGTGGTCAGTTCATTTTGATTTCAAACTAATTTTTTGTCTTTGGCATATGTTTAATACACATAACTGATATAATGTTAAGAAATATTAAATTTAATCATTAAATATTTTACCGAACTTCTATTGTTTAGCTTTACATTTTAGTAATTCTATTAACATAAAAATGACATTCTTTTTTTAATTTTAAGATTAGACCTATGATACTTTAAAATACATTCATTGCATCAGATAAAAGCATACATAAACTGGCGTAAATAAAAAAAAAAGTTTCATGTTTAGGAAAAAGCAGTAATTGTGCAACAAATAACGAGAAATTAAAACAAACCCTTTCCATGTCAAATATACCAAACATACTGCACTCCATTAGGCACTTAAATCATAATTAATTTTACTTTAGAGTGTATTATAAATTAATAGCTTCTGCCTTAAATGATGATCTCTCTTGAATATTTCTGCCTTAAATGATGATCTCTCTTGAATATTTCTGCCTTAAATGATGATCTCTCTTGAATATTTCTGCCTTAAATGATGATCTCTCTTGCATTATTTTCGGGTATTAATGCAGTAGCTTCAAGAAAGATTTAGGAAAGTAAATATTTGCTAATTACATTTAATTGAGAACGAAAGAGATGAAATTTCACATGAACTTATCTTGACTATTATATGAGGAACATATACGCAAATATTTATTCAGCTCTTCAGATGTCATGTAAATGTATTGAAATTGTTACGAACAGCAAGAAGATGTTATATGAAAATTATATTTAGTATAAAACAAATTTAACATTTCAATTGGAACCTGTTGGTATTTTGATATTAACTTATCAGTTGAATCTTTTTATAGCGCACAATTAATGTCGTCTTCATAGTAAAGATGATCCCTCACATCTTGTGCTGCTCCTCACACGGACACATTCCCAAAAATAATTCTATGACTATCAACCCATTTTTCTGTTCTGTTCTCATAGAGACGTCAAATCGACAAGAAGAGAAAAAATTGAGGAAAGCCATCGTTCCATTAATGACCTGGATCGATCCATGTTTGAAACTGATTCAGGTGTCTAAATTTTCTAGGCCAAGTCACCATGATAATTCATGTAACTCTGAACCAATTATTTCGCTTCCGATCCTTAATATGCATCAGCGGAGACCAACACAAACATTTCGCGTCCCTTGTCCTGCTATTAGCATCATGTTATTTCTCCAGGAAAACGGTGTACTTGGAAGCAGAGAGCTCCAAAAATTATTTAATCAGTCACCTTGGAAGCTACATCATCGTATCGAACTGGTGAATGTTCATTCTCCAGATCTAACCTTGGCTGATCAACGGTTTTACCAAGCCCACACAGATACACCACTTTGGGCAGTGTGCCCAGTAGATGCTGGACATGAACACCTAAGAATAAATATTTTTGTTCGAAACTTTCCGGCTATGATTGAATTCTATCGAATCATCACCGGAGTTGAAATGGAAATAAGCAAAGATAACTTCTGCTGGTTTCTACTTTACTCTCAACCGGGATTAGAAATACGTCTTAGTTTGAAGTGTGCTGACAACGTCGATCCTTATCCACTTCAAACTGTTCAGTTACTCTTCGAAGTGAACAACGTGGGCTATATCGAGACATCCCTCGGAATCGAAGTGAAATTTATTGGATCGGGTTGTTACTGGATGACCGATCCAGACGGCAATTTTGTTGTCCTTCATACTACGGAAAATGTCATTTACCCTTTCAATGTCTGTTACAAGGAACAACCTCTGTATCGCAAAATCCATCCAAACGAAGACAATTTAACTACTAAAATTTCTCCTTCTACAGGTTTAAATTCTCTGAAATGTAGCACTATCCCGCGAAATTTCACCTATTTCAAAAGGAATGCTTCAACGAGCAATGATTCGGGGCTGTTTACGTGTAGTGAAGGTAGTCATATTGAGGATTCAGTCACCCCTGCCTTTTTTAAGAACCTGACGTTTTCGAACTCTTCAAAGCGATTTACAAATTGCAATCAGTTAACAGCTATTAATGATGAAGAAATATTTACAAATCAGTTGTCGGGGAGATTTTTAGTGGATCGCCAAAGAAAGATGCATCTATCGTTCAGAGGCGACAATGGACACGTCCGACAAGATAGGGAACATTTTTATGAACATGTAAATTTGTCTAAGAAAAAAGACATTTGTTGCAGCATTTCCAGTTTGTGTGAAGATGAGTCTCGATTGGACCCAGCTATTCGCAGGAGCAATTCAGCCTTGATAGACTTTTCCAAATATGTAATTAAAAAAAAAGTGATCAATGTTAATCCTGAACCGCCGATAGTTTCAGAAGAAATATTTGTATGAAAATAATTTATGTTTTAGTATTGGAATTTTTGGATGGATTTGTTATTTGTGAACAATTCTTTTCTAATTATTCGTATGTCTATTTGATGACAATACAAATATATTTTACAAGTATGCAGAATGACGACATCTTTATCGCTCTGTATACTGATGTTTGTACGAAGAGGTGCTGAAAATTTTCAGCCTGACACACATCCCAAAATCAGCGCAAATGATCAAACATTTTTAAGGTCTTCTTGGTCGAGTCGAGACCTTTTCAGCATCGTTTGTATTGACTATTTGGCTTGAATCCTTACCTTACCAAGATAAGATGCAAACTTTTCACATGAAAATACATTTAATCTGAACTGGCAAGATTTTGTAAGTACACGAATGGACGACAAACGATTATTTTGTAAATCCATAAAAGTATTCTTCAATACAAATTAGAAACAATTAATTAAAAATTGATAACATTTTACGAAATGAGTTACTAATCTCAGATTACCTGGTATTTTATTTAAAAAAAAAAAAAAGAAACGGTGTTTGTCTGCAGGTGTGAAATTCATAAGCACACTTAATTGAATTGTAAAAGTCTTTGTCTATGAATTTGGCTCATAAACAGGATTAACAATTTGTTTTATGAATAAAAGGATTTAAACGACCCAGGCGATCCAAATTTTA